CATACATACATACATATGTACAGACAACTATACATACTTATTTGCCTGTTGGCAGAAATAGAACCCAGCAGCGCCCCCTGACCATGAACACGCATGCCGAAGCACCCCTATTGTTGAATAACATCTTGGACCCTAACCCTGCCCAAACGCCAAAACACCCCAAACCCCTCTGGGACAACGTGCCTGCGGTACAAGTAGCAAGCAGAGAGCAGCAGGGGAGGGGGGGGGGGGAAGTCTAGCGGAGACTACACCTACAGCTACTGGGGACCATTTGGAGCCCTTGGGCTCCTGAAACCTTACACAACCCTAAACCGTTTTTCCCAAACCCTACACCCTCTAGACTCTGCAGTTACACCTGCCCGCTAAACGATCTAAGCTCAACTGGCCTGTCAAGCAAGCCCCCAGAAGATAAAGCCCCATAGAAACCCTGCGAAACTCTGCAAAACCGCATGTATGCTTGCCCTCGCAAACCTCTGTGAGACACTCTAAAGCGTTCGAAACCCTCAACCACTCTTGGCAGGAACCTTTGCAGGAATTATTCTAGATTTCTCGTGTCGAATCGGACCCTTGGAAACATGCTCCAAGGAGAGAAAAGCTCGACGAACCCCAGGTGAAGGATGTGATGTTTTTGTTAGGGCTTCAGGGTATGCCGAATGTTTTGGGGCTTGTTTGTTGAGGGGGTGTTTAGAGTTTATGGAGTTGAGCCCAAGGATTCATAGCTGAGGGTGTTGCCTAGGTTTCTTTTTGGAGCTAAGGTTTCGGGATGAAGGGTTTACCCGAGGGGTCCTTCAAGGGTTCCTTTAAAGGGTTCTGTAAGGGTACCATGAGGGGTTTAGGGGTTTAGGGTTAAGGGTTTAAGGGTTTAGGGTTTAAGGGTCCATACCCAAACAGTATATACATTGACCCTAAAGTACCTATCTAGGGACTACATTAAGGCCGAAGTAGATACTAGTTGGGTACATGGACCCTTAGGGTTAGATCATAGGAAGCGTAGGGTTTAGACAAAAGACGTTTGACTTATCTGTTAAGTCGTTATGCAGAATGTGTGTACATGTTATGCTTTTTCCTCCGGAAAGGACTTATATAGAAATCTGAGCCCCTAAACCGTTGTCGGAGCCATATTATTGAACCCATATAAGGACACTATAGAGCCTCGCAAATCCCGACACACCCCGAAGCATCAAAACCAGTCGCCCCCGGAGGAGATACTTTCGGATCCACTTGTGCGGCCTCCTGCAGCAAATTTAGCCAGTTGATTTAAAACGTTTCTGGATTTTACGTACAGGTTGTTATTGCAATACTTGAAGGATCATGGGACTTCGTGAACAAGGTTAGAAGTACCTTTTGGGGGGTTATAGGTATTTTTCAATCGGGTTACCTTACTTATAGCTTTCGTCGTTAAGTCCCATGATGTTAAGCAGGGTTCTGCCCGTCCTACGTACGGAGGTTGGCTTCCTGGGCTTAGGACTGTTGAGGTCCCAACCTAGACCCTAAACCCTAAACCCTAAACCCTAAACCCTAAACCCTAAACCCTAAACCCCAAAAAAGACCTAGACACGAAACCATGGTTCAGCTCTCATGAATGCACTGCGGTGGAATCCTTTCAGGGTTTAGGGTTTAGGGTGTGTTATTTGGAAAGATCTCTTTGAGCATCAAGCTTTACACAAGAAGAAATCAACCTAAAGCCTAAACCCTAGATGGGCTTAGGGTTTAGGGTTCAGGGTCTAGGGTAGAGTCTAGGGCTCCGCAATGGGTTCTATGAGTAGAACGTTGCCCTTGGCCTAAGCCCTAAATCCTAGACCCCTACACCCCTAAAGCCCTCAAGCCCTAAACCCTAAACCCCGTACACCCCTAAAGCCCTAAAGAGCTACAGCCCCAGGAGAGCAATGCGCTTGCTGACGAATCACGATCGCGACGCCTTCCTCACCGAGCTCCGGCCCGGTCCTCCAAAGTGTTTGAGGGTTTACGGTTTTAGGGTTTAAGGTTCAGGATTTAATTAGGGTTCAGCGCTTAGGGTTAAGAGTTTCGGTTCTAGGTGTTGGGGGCTAGGGTTTAGGGTTTAGTGTTTGTTGTTGTTGTTGTTGTTGTTGTTGTTGGTGTTGGTGTTGGTGTTGGTGTTGGTGTTGGTGTTGTTGGTGTTGTTGGTGTTGTTGGTGTTGGTGGTGGTGGTGGTGTTGGTGTTGGTGTTGGTGTTGGTGTTGGTGTTGGTGTTGGTGTTGGTGTTGGTGTTGGTGTTGGTGTTGTTGGTGTTGTTGTTGTTGTTCTTCTTCTTGTTCTT